GGTTGAGGAACCACAAGTTGAAATTAAGCTACATTCTGGCCTCCCTACATACATGGATACATATATGCCTAAGTATGTTCCCAGACTGTGTGATGCCCTTGGAATTGACAGTGCACTGATTTGTGCCTCTCCCAGGAACAGCTGAGTTGGACTTCCCAGATGGCATAGGACATTCTTGCCAGCACATTAGGGTGACAAGGAAAACCTGTTTTCAAAGAAAAAGCAAAAACAGTCACTTAGAAACTTCAGAAATTTTCCTAAGGACATAGGGCATCTGGAGAAACATTTGTTCCAGAAAGTGTAGATTAGCTGTCCTTCATAGCCGCATGGTTTTCATCCCTGAATTCAATAGTGAAGCCTGTAAGAAAATCGAGTATAATGAACACAGATAGTCTCATTTCTCATCACTACTCTCTAAACAATGTGGTGTGGCAGCTGTTTATATAGCAGGTTCGAGTAATCTAGAGGTGATTTCAAGCGTGTGGGAGGGGCAGACATGTTGTATGCAAATGCTAAGCTGTTTTACATAAGGCTTATACAAGTTAGCATGCTCAAGAAGTTATGGTTTTGATTTGCAAAGAGAACCCTGGAACTCTTCCCCAGTATACTGGAGGGTCCCTGTACTAAGTATTGATAAGAATGATCAGTTTTGATAGCATTTGTGAATACTGTGACCTCCTTTACTATGCCTGCCCCTTAGCTCCCTAGCCACATACCCCCCACCCCATTTATAGTTGGATTCTGGAAGGCTGGGAAATTGACTTGTGACTTTACCTTTCATTTATCCTACTTTGGACCAAGAATAAAAGTCTTCTAAAATGTTCCATTGGTGCTGATTATATTTCTTCAATTGCTCTGAAGCAAAAGGACCCAGTTTGGGGATAAGAACCGGTAACAAATAGATTGATTTAATTATTTTTCATTTTTTCCAAAGAAAAGACCTGGACAGGTAGCTTCACTGGTGATATCTACCAAATATTAAAAGAACTATGTGCTAGCTAGTTTATGCCAACTTGACACAGCTAGAGTTGTCTGTAAGGAAGGGAACCTCAATTGAGAAAATGCCTCCATTAGATCTGGCTGTAAGATGTTTTCTTAAGTAGTGATTGATGGGGGAGGGCCCAACCCATTGTGGTTGGGGCCATCCCTGGGCAGGTGGTCCTGGGTTCTGTAAGAAAGCAGGCTGTGTAAGCCTTGAGGAGCAAGCCAGAAAACAGCACTTCCCATGGATTCTGCTTCAGTTCCTGCCTCCAGGTTCCTGCCCTATTTGAGTTGCTGTCCTGACTTTGTCCTGTGTTGAACATCAATGTGGGAGTGTAAGCCAAATAAACCCTTTCCTCCCCAAATGCTTTAGTCATGGTGTTTGATTACAGCAATAGGAATCCAAACAAAGACAAACTATTACAATCCTCTATTTCTTCCAAACTGCTGTGTTAGAAAACAGCAACAAAACAAGCAAAATAAAAAACAAACACACACACACACACAAAAAAAGAAAAGAAAAGAAAAGAAAAAAACAACGCACAGACTGTATTTCTTTTATTCTCATTCCACAAAGGTCAACACAGATTTCCATGGCCTCAAAGTTTCAAGGGTCATTCTTCCCATCAGAAGCAGATAATCTTTTCTTCAGAGTGTCTACTACTAGGTACCTCCCCATTCAACTCACTCCCACCACTTGCTACCTGGGCAGCATCAAACCCCACAGATATTAGGACTCACTTTCCAAAGCTGCTACCACCTCGGATGCCATCACAAGACCTGGGTAGTTTTCCTTGTGCTTCTGACCACAAGCTATAAGTTAGGGTTCCAAGTGTTAGCACCTTTGAGAGCAAACTCCTCTACTAATGGACTGTCAAGTTGTTGTTTCCTTTATATTCAGTTAAAATTATGACATGAGCTGAGCATGGCCAGTGGCATTCCTGTCCACCATTTTAACCTTTAAAAATTTCCTGCAATATATTTTGATTACATCCTTTCCCTTCTTTCAGCTTCTCCCAGATCATCCTTCCACTCCCCATCCACCCTACTCCATGCTCCTTCTCTCTCTTAAAAACAAAACAAAACGCAAAACAAAAACATAGAATCTGCTTTTAGTTGGCTAAGCCCCTAGCATGAAGTTTTCTTTGGAATATGGATGATACACCCAGTATCACTCCATTGAAGAAAACTGATTTTCCCCACTTCCAGCAGCCATCAGTTATAAATATATTTTTGGTTAGGGGTGGGACTCTGTACCCACTTCCTCTTCTCTGTCCTGGAAATGTGTCTGGCTTGAACTTGTATAAGTTTGGTGCGTGCTTCCACAAACACTGTTGAATCTTGGAATCTTGGAAATCTTGGAATCTTGGAAACACTTGGAATCTTCCTTCACCTCTGTAACTTACTATCTTTCCACCCCCTCTTCTGCATAATTTTGAGCCCAGAGAGGAGGGCTGGGATAAAGACAGCTCATTTAGGGCTGAGTGCTTCAAAGTTTCTCATTCCCTGCACATTGTCAGTTGTGGGGCTCTGTGTTAATTACCACCTACTGCATGAAAAACCTTCTCTGATTAGAGTTAAGCATGGCATGAGCTATGGGTATGGCAATATGTCATTAGGAACATTTTATTGCTATGTTCACTTAGCAGAATAATGGGTTTTCCCCCAGGGCTCATGACCTATCTAGTCTGAGGTTCTTGACCTCATTAACAGTGTTGCATATGGGTTCTATCTCATGGAGCCAGCTTTAAATACAATTTTAAAAAGTGATTGGTTAATCCCATAATGTTTGTACCACTATTTCACCAGTGGGTTTAACTTCTATAATTTAGATGGTCTGTAGCTCTGTAAGATTGATGATAACTTTAATTCTCTGTTAGCATGTGTAGTACTTTCAAGCATTATGAATGGTGTCAATAGGGGTGAAGCCTCTAGTTGGGCACCAGCTCAATTTCTTCATGATGACAAGTCATCAGCAGTGGGTCTTACCATCATGTTGTAAAGGGTAACCATTGACAATAGTCTGTTAAGTTTGGGAGTTTCCACGGGATCCCTTTGGCCAATGACTCAACAAGATATAACCCATTTCTGGAACTGGTGGTTTTTATTTGATGGCATATGATATCTAGTTGGGCATCATCTCCCCTCTTATATGATAACTCCATTTAAATTACTTTTATATGTGCATATATTCTTAGGAATCACAGGAGTAGAAACACGTGATCTATGACCTTGAGCTAAGTGTGCCCATAAATATGTCTATCTTTCCTTCTTAAATTAGACCTTAAACTGATCATGCTCAGAAGGGTACCCACTAGTAAATCACTCCTCTCCATGAATAGGAATAGGCTACCTGATTAATACCCTATACTTTCTTAGTTCAAGGAAGGGCATTGCTTTAGGAGTGACTTTCACAGTCTCTTTATTACTACAAGTGACATAGCTTTCTCTGCCTTTTATGCCTTAGCCATCCTTATTTTGGCTTTTTTTTTTTCTGATTGAGACTGAGAACCTATCACACTCTGTTTCACTATCACTCTGAGTTCAATTAATTTATTGATGTCTCCCATGTTAAGGAAAACACACAGAGATGATTTTCCTTTTAAAAATATTTTCATTTACTATTACTACTTTATTAACAGTGTGTGTGTGTGTGTGTGTGTGTGTGTGTGTGTGTGTATGTGTTTATGTACATGTATGTGGGTGCCCATGGCCCCAGGTATAGGATCTCCCTTGTCTTAATTAGGATTACTCTCCCTGTGATGAAACACCATGACCAACTCAACTTGGGGAGGAAAGGGTTTATTCAGCATGTGTTTCCACACCACAGTTCATTATCAAAAGAAGTCGGAACAGGAGGAGCTCAAAAAGGGCAAGATCCCGTAGGCAGGATCTGACGAAGTGGCCATATGCAGAGGGGTGCTGCTTACTGGCTTGTTCCTCCTAGCTTCCTCAGCCTGCTTTCTTATAGAACCCAGGACTAGCAGGCCAGGGATGGCCCCACCCACAATGGGCTGGGCCCTCCCTCACCAATCACTAATTAAGGAAATGCCCTACAGGCTTGCCTACAGCCGGATCTTATGGAGGCATTTCTTCAGCTGAGGCTCCCACCTCTCTGATGACTCTAGCTTGTGTCAAGCTGGCATAAAACTAGCCAGTGTACCCGTGGCTGGAGTTATAGGCAATTGTGAGCTAAACAACATGAATGTTGGGAACTAACTTAGCACTATGTGTTCTTAGCCAGTGAGCCATACCTCTAGCTCCAATATATTGACATTTTGAAAGAATACTACAAAGGATACATGTGGAACAACACATGGAGGAATGGGTATTGAGCTTCCACGTGCTCTCTTCGAGTCTCAGCTTTCTAGAACCTTCATGTATTTAGCTATCTGGAAACTACTGAGCTCTGTTCTGTCTTTTGGGGGTTCTATGAAGACTTCCTTGCATAGGAACCATTGTATAATACAGTGTCAATAGCTTGGGTGAAGGAACCCAGAAAAGCCTGCCCACTTCAGCATTCTTGACCTCTCTTATATAACTGAATCAAAGAAAAGTTGTTACCTCTCTCAGTCCTGTACTGTTTAGGTTGCCTCCCCTTGGAATGGAGAGGGATTTATAACCTGCTACCAATAAGCGTAGGTAATAGAATTAGAGCCAGCACCACAACAGAAGTTCAGAGTTTTCATTGTGTGCTTTAGGGAAGTTCTCTCATTCTCTCTCTCTCTCTCTCTCTCTCTCTCTCTCTCTCTCTTGTTGTGTGTGTGTTTGTGTGTGTGTGTCTCTCATACCCATTTACATATACTATATATATATATATATATATATATATCACTACCATAACACATATGTACATACATACTATAACATCACATCTCCACAACTCTCTAACTCAAAATCCTAAAGAATTTGGGTGCGACTAGAAAACCTAATTCAACAACACATAGGATTAATATATATATGACCAAATTAAGTTTATCATGGAATACACAGGCAGCTTACATTTGAAATTAGTTACTATTGAATTTCAGCCCCTTGGCTAAGATCAAATGTAATATTTGTTTTATTGATCTAAGATCAGGTACATCCTCAGTTGAGTACAGTATATTACATGGCTTTAGGATGCAGAACGGTGAAATTGCTCAATTCATTCTGCATATTCACCTGGTACTCTAGAGCCTCCAGGAGTGATGCAGCATCTCAGAAAACTTTAGAAATCTATGCATCTATCAGTGATAGTTAGGGTTTCTATTGCTCTGAAGAGACACCATGACCATGACAATTTTTATAATGGAAAATATCTAATTGGGGCTATCTTACAGTTCGGAAGTTTAGTACATTATCATTATGCTGGGTGGCATGCAGGCAGACATGGTGCTGGAGAAGGAGCTGAGATTTCTGCATCTTGATCTGCACTCTGCAGAAGCAGTCTGTATCTACACTGGTTGTAGTTTGAGCATAGGAGACCTCAAGACACACTTCCTCCAACAAAGCCACAATTCCTAATAGTGCCACAGTGGGATAAAACAAAAAACATTATTATCACAGTAAATTTCAAAATCAGCTAAGAATCCATTTGTGATGTAAAAACAAATGAACATTGACAAACAAGTTCAAGAAACTAAAAAGGGAAGGGACCCCTCTGAGTTTGATTTTAAAAAGCATCAATAAAATCCCAAAGCAGGTGCCATCTTTGATGGTGAATACTGAAAGCTTCCAAGTTTAGGCCTAATACAAGGTCATTTGTTCTCATGAACTGCCACTGTGTACCAAGCAAGAAAAGAAGAAAGCATCTTTCCTGGAAGTAAGATGTTGTTATTTACAGGCAATAGTCTATGTAGAAAATTCTAAAGAATTCACAAACAAATGTTTTTAATGACCTCAGCAAAGTAGTAGGAGACAGGTCACATAAAAATCATCAGTGAATATTTAAAAAATTAAATTATGAAAATTACATTTTCTATAGCATTTCTGCTGCATTTTGAGTATGAAATGTCCTCATGGGCTCAGAGCAAGGCTGTTGTGGAAGATGTTGTGGAATATTATTTGAAGATGTGTTACATTTGCTTATGCTATAGAGCATTTGTTTAATGGTGTAAAGATGTGTTGCATTCTTTTATGTTGCATCTGTTTAACTCTGTGAAGCTGTGATCCTTTGCCTGTCTAAAACACCTGATTGGTCTAATAAAGGGCTGAACAGCCAATACCAAGGCAGGAGAAAGGATAGGTGGGGCTGGCAGAGAGAATAAATAGGATGAGAAATCTGGGAAGATAAAAGATTGAGGAGTGGAAAAGAGACAAACTTTGTCCCCTGGAGAAGGGGAAAGGGTCACAATCCCCTGAGCAAATTGAGAGCATGGGAAGAGGAGGGAGGGAGCTATGAGAATGAGAGGGGAAGAAGAGGAAGGATGCAGAGGTCATGATGGGGCAGAAAGGTGGAGTCAGGTGTAGATTAGAAGAAAGGATATGTGATAGGTAGGGTTTTAATTGGGGGGATTGTAGAGGAGGAAGGGAGGGAGGAGGGAACTGGGATTGTCATGTAATTCAATCTTGTTTCTAATTCAAATTAAAAAATTGATAAAAAAAAAAGATTGAGGAGTGAGAGAAGGAGGAAGACTCCAGGGGCCAGCCACCTAGTACACAGTGAGCTGTAGAGTAAGAAGTAAAGAAAAGTGACCTTTAATCCCAGCACTTGGGAAGGAGAGGCAGGCGGATATCTGTGAGTTTGAGACCAGCCTGATCTACAAGAGCTAGTTTCAGGACAGGCTCCAAAAAGCTACACAGAGAAACCCTGTCTCTCGGGGAAAAAAAAAAAGGAAAGAAAGGTATATAGAATAGAGAAATATAAAAGCCCAGAGGGAAAATGTAGACAGGATAACTTAAGAAAAGCTGGTTAGAAACAAGCCAACCTAAAGCTGAGCATTCATAAGAAAGAACAATGTAGTTTATTTGGGAGCTGCGTGGCAGGTCCCCCAAAGACCCAAAAGTGTAAAAAACAAAGCAACAAACAACAACAACAAAACTACAGGAAAAAGGTAGAAACAGATGGTGAGGGCTAGCTGGAGGAACTGGGTCACTCATATGTGTCTCTGAAGGAGCCTGGCCCCTGGTCCCTCATGCTTTCTGTTTCCTTTCCACCACTCCCTGTGATGATCTGCTCAAGTGCCTGGGGCCAAGTGGTTATAAATGGAAACATCTGAAGCCATGAGTCAAAATAACCCTTTCCTCTCTTTAAGTTGTTTGTGTGAGGCATTTTGTTACAGTAATAAAAAAGAACTAGCTGAAGAAGTCTGTACCAGGAATGAGTTTGTTAGTGTAAGTACACCTGATGGTGAAGTTTAGAAGCCTCTGGAATGACTTTATAGAATGAATCTGAAAACATCTGGAGATATACAGGCCAGAGAGGCCCTAACAAGCTAGAAGCAAAACTTCATGGGTGTTCTGGCTGAAGGCCAGAAACTCAGAATAGTAGTAAGAATGAAGACTGTCAAGACTGCTGTGAGGTGAGGTGTAGACACAAAGACTCTATTGATAATTAGACTAAACACCCTTTGTTACACTGTAGCAAAGACTATGCTGTCTAGGCCCCAAAGTCTTGGTGGGATGCTAGGTTTAAAGATGACCCACTAATTAACATGGATGAGAACATTTCAAGGGAACCCAGGATTTAGGTTTTGGCATGGGTATTGCTGGCAGGTTTTAACAAAGTTTATAGTAGAATTAGGAGTGAAAGATGGAGCTGAGAAAGCCTGTTAAAACTTGCAGTTTGGTCAGGAAGGCTTCTGTGAACTGAGGCTAAGAGAGATGTGATTTCTGTTGGGATTAGTACAATAAAAACGAAGTCAGGATAGACTTGGTTGTGCATACTTGTAATGCCAAAACTCAAGAGGCAGAGGCAGAGGCAGAGGCAGAGGCAGGGGGGCTGTAGAAACTTGAAGCCAGTCTACAGAGAAAGTTTTAAAACATCCAAAACTATATAATAAGACTCTATCTCAGAGAGAGAGAGAGAGAGAGAGAGAGAGAGAGAGAGAGAGAGAGAGAGAGAGGGAGAGAGAGAGAGAGAGAGAGAGAGCAAGCTGTGACCTTTGAACTTACTGTGAACTATGGATGGCGCAGAGCATAGAATGTTTCCCACAAGGTGGCCTTCTAGAAAAAAATTGCAGAAACTATGATAAGTGGATGCACTTGGAAACAATGACATAGAAGGAATGCCCTGGAATGTCTACATTATCTCTGTGGGAAAGGTAAAGGCCTAGGAGGAATATTCTTGGCTCCTTTCATGTGACCAACGACGATGAGACATAGCTTCAGGTGTATTCTGTGGTGATTTGGATAAGAATGTCCCCCATAGGTTCATTTATTTGAATGCTTAGTCTCCTGAGAGTGGCACACCTTGAAAGGGTTAGAAGAGTTAGGGAGGGTGGCCTTGGAGGAAGTGTGTCACTGGGAATGGGCTTTGAGATTTCAGAAACCCATGCCAAGCCCAGTGTCTCGCTATTTATCTTCAGATCAGCATGTGACTCTCAGCTACTGCTCTAGCATCTGTCTTCATGCTCCCATGAAGATAAAGGACCAAGCCTCTAAAATTGTAAGCAAGCCCCCAAGTAAATACTCTCTTTCATAAGAATTGTCTTGGTCGTGGTGTCTCTTCACAGAGCAATAGAACAGTGACTAAGACAAAACTGTACTTGTTCTTGCATAAGTTCACTGTAAACATCACCTTATGTTTTGCTTGCTTTTCTGCTAAAAAACGAGAAGTGCTTTCTTTGTACTACTCCTGAGCTCAAACTCTGGGAGTCCTCTGGTTACCCCCACTCAGGTCTATGGAATAGCCTGCCATCCTCAGGGACTTAGCCTTACTGACCATGGAGGGGATCAATGTAGCATGCAAGCAGAATGAATGTGGAGTTACAGGGTCACAGAGGCTCCACTCCCATTTCGGAGGGCCTGACTGACCAGGCAATGTGTGACTGGGTTAGATATTCATAGGCCATTCCTAAAAGGGCAGTATATAAAGCTGTGAGGGTAATGCCTAAAACCTCAGGATGTTGGGTTGCTAGGAACATCAACCTCTTATGAGAAAAGTGAGAATCATGCAGAGCCAGCTCAAGGAAGGAAACGGGCAGGTTGCAAAAGGAAGGCCATTATGGCTGGGGCTTCTCAAGCCCTTCTCAGACCAGATCACACCACTGCAATGTGCCCCCAACATTACTTATCCAGAGCTACAGAATTTAGTATATGTTGTTGGCTTTTGGTTTTGCTTTGGTTCCTCATTTATATGTCCCCCATGACTCCTTTTTGAAGAGTTTACTCTGTGTATAGGCTGGGGGTATGTAATTTCCCTCTTAGTTTTACAGAGACCAGCCACTATGAGTTTGCCTTGAATCTCAGCAAATCACTGACCCTGAATATTTCAACAACGCTGAACCTTTTTAAGATGTCAGAGATTCTTAGAGATGAACAAAATGGCTTTTGCATTATGAGGTGACCATGCAGTTAGGGAGGCCAAGGAAAGAATGTTATGGTTTGAATATGAAACCATATTCCTCTGTAGGTCCATGTTTGAATGCTTGGTCCCTGCTGGTGGTACTGTTTCAGAAAGAGGTGGGAACTTTAGAAGGTGGTCCTTATAAGGAAGAAGTGAATCACCTCAAGCATGACATCAAAGCTTATACTGGTTCCCAGTTCTGTCTCTCTGTGTGCTTCTTAAGGGCCATAAAGTGACGCACCACTTCCCCATGCCCTCCCACTATGATGTTCAGTCTGCTCAGGTTATGAGTCCAAGTAACTATGGCCCAAAAACTCTGAAATCATGAATCAAAATAACCTCCAAACCTCCCCCCATGTCACCTGCATCAGATATTAAGCAAAAGTAACTAATGTGCACTCTAAATTAATTGCACACAGAGTCAAAATTACAGCTAATCATTGTTTTTGGTAGAAATTGACAAGTCAATCCTAAAACTCATTTGAAAACACAAAAGCCCAGAATAGCCCCAAATCTTTAATTAATAAAAGAACAAATTTTGGAAGCTTCCCATTTCCTTGCTTCAAACATTGCTACACAGATAGAGCAATGTAGATGTCCTGATAAAAAAGAGACAGATATGGACATACTAATCAGAACAGAACTGAGGGTCCTCATATCAGTCTGTTCATGTCTACTGATATTTACTGAATTTTGTTAAAAGAATAGTTCTC